CAACGGACAAGAAATACTCCTTGAAAAAACCGCGTGACGACGGTCACACAACGCATGATCGTCACACAATCACTTTCTTTGTTTCGTTTATTTATAAGTGAGTGAAAACCTGGAATTGTTTTGGACAGAAACAGCGAGAAAACAAGGAAAATACCACCGATCATGTATCGTTATAAATAGTTCGGACAATGACAACAATTTCACACATGACAAACGCAAAACTCATGGAATAGTTATAATAATAATTAATAATTTATTAAACTTCTATAGCGCCTTAATTATTAAGATATTCTAAAGCGCTTCACAATATAATAATACACTAATATACTAATATATAAATATAATATGATTAAGATAATTAAAATAAATATCCTAAAGAAACGCTTTCCTAAAAAGGTGAGTCTTAAGTCCTATTTTAAAGGTATTAATACTATCACATGATCTAAGTGATAATGGCAGAGCATTCCAAACAGTAGGGCCTGCGTGTACAAATGCGCGTTCGCCGAAAGTCTTACACTTAACACGAGGAACTTGCAAAAAATTTCCAGAATCAGATCTTAAACTGTACCTGGTAGCAGGTTTAGCATCAATCAAGTCCATTATGTACATAGGGGCAAATCCATGTAATGCYTTAAAAACTAGCAGCGCMAKTTTATATTCGATTCTATACTTAATTGGCAACCAATGTAGCCGCATGAGAACTGGAGAAATATGCTTGAATTTAGGAATAAGACAAGTTACCCTAGCAGCAGCATTAAGTACTTTCTGTAAACGGTCATATTGATATTGAGGGAGCCCATACAAGAGGGAATTGCAATAATCTAAATGGGACGTAACAAAAGCATGAATCAGAGTCTTTGTGGAGTCCTCAGACAGATACTTCCTAATTTGCCTAATATTATACAATCCCCTGAAAGCTTTGCTGCAAACCTTCCCAATATGGGTGTTCATAGATAAGTGATTATCAAACCAAGAACGCCTAAGTTCTAGAACCCTAGTTATGTCTCGAGTCAGCGAGTTTCAAGGCAATCAGGGAATGGAGTTCAAAGGCTGATAAGCATTAATCCAGGGTTRATGKCGTAGTTTTGTTAGGATTAGCGTTGATTGAGCCTTGAATAACCCAGCCCTCAGCTGATTTGTCAAATCTGATATGACTCATTAACATGGATTTTAAAACTCTGAAAAAGAATAATCCTTTATCTTGAGAATATTCAAGATTTGCCAGTGCTTACTGTTGGCCTTGAATATTTGCAGGCGCTCGTTGCATGACGTAGAAGCATAGAAGCTCGCCTGCGGCTCGTTATTTTTAATCAACGTTTTATTCATTCCATCGTTCACATCTATTCATTCACTTATTTAAAAGTATCCATATAGAAATTCCATCTCTATATTTGACAGTTGTACAGTACAAGGCACGTTACCCTATCATTCTAAACTGATATTTACACGACTTGATTCGGCGCACAGCCGACAGAGATGTTCCCAACATAGCGTCGCGCAAAAAAGCAAGAAAGAAAAAATTGGAAAAAGAAAAGAAAAAAAGGAAAAAATGATGATCTGATGTAGATCTGCACTAGTATTCGGAAAAAAGACGTACTTCACAAGTTTTGTGAAGCAAAACTCAGTAACGCCCTTTGTTCCTATACTTTCTTTCTTTGTAAGTTGAATCGTGTATTGACATCTTCACGACAATCCGTATCGCAGTTATCGCTGTGAACAGTGTTGATCGACTTTCGACATAAAAATCCTTGCTTTCTCAATCATTATTCGAAACGAAACGAAACAAAACCCAGCTGATAAGGACAGTGTTCGCTAGCTTCCTTCCCAGGCAAATCTTTTTTCTTCCTTTGGGCTTTGGGACTAGTGACGAGAAAGGAAAAATAAGAAGAGGAGGAGTCATCCCATTCTCCCTCTTTTGACTCCAAAAAAGACAGGAAGCCCGTGCTGATTTTTAGAGATGCCTCTTGTGTCTGTTGTGGTTCACAATTAAGTCGTTTATTAATAATAATAATAATAATAATAATAATAATTTATTGACTTATATAGCGCTCTTTAACATTTAAAAGATCAAAAGCGCTTTACATGGATAAATTAATAAAAATATATATATACTATAAAATATGAATAATTACAATAATTTATACTATAAGATATGAATAATTACAATGATATGAACTCTAAATTGTATATATACGTATATATACGTTCAAATCCTTGTTCAATCAATCAATCAAGTTTATTTCACCAATAGTAGCTATGTTGTTTACATTCATTGTGTATTAAATATTATTAATTATTATTTCTACTTGATGAGGAATCTACGAAAAGCGTGACATAACTTACTGTTGTAGATCCCTTTACAATAGAAGGATAAAAAAATAAAATAAAGTAACATGATATAACTAATCAGCATATTTTGATTATATATTTTTGAATAAATCTTGATAAAAAAAATTAAATCTCAATTCAATTCTTTTTATTAATTCTTAAAAATCATATTTGCCTTTTAGATAGTATAGTTCCAATTTTTTGATTCTGAAAATTTGATAACTTTGATTTCATATTTGAATAACACTTGATAAAATTAATCTTCATTAATTCTTAAAAATTCAAAATGTCTATATTTTCTATATATGTAGTATGATTCCAGGTATTGGAATAGGTAATTTTCAAAAAAATTTATTTACAACATGATCATTCTTATTCAATCAATCACTATTTATCAATTGTAATTTTAAATGTTTTTTGAAGCTTGCCAGTGTTTTACATTTTTTACTTAGTTCTTGAAATTTCTTCCATACTTTTGGTCCCATGAATGAAATAGAAAATTATCAAAATTTTGTATATATTTCTAGAAGTTATGTGATAATTCTGTGACTGTCTTGTGTTGTACTCATGTACATTGGAGTTTTTATGAAAATAGTTGTAAAATGTAGCCTTTTACGCTTTGTGTTGACATTCGTTTACTCAGTGTTTACTCACTAGAGCTATATCACGGTTACGGTTACGATACACTGATACAGCTACCAGAACTACAATAAATAAATAAAATTACACTATAAATAACTAAACGAAATAGAGTCAGTGGTTTTCATAAACCCATGAAACAAAGTGTAATCCATTAGAGTGTAATAGATCCCCGGGGGGGGGGACTCCCTAATATCAAAGGGCGGGGGACCTCGGCGGAGATTGTGAAAATGACCCCTAAAAGGGACCTCTATTGTAAGATGATGGGCGTGGCAGTGCTGAAATTTCAACCCTAAAAGGGACCAATCAATAACAGGTCATTTTGTTTTGGTTTATCGATTTTATTTGTGTTTTTACACAATCATCGAACACCGTCGGCTCGTATTGAGTTTATGACGACGTTGCCATTTTATGACTGCTTAGGGTCGCCGTATACCCTAAAAGGGACCACAAAACACAGTTGGTAGGAATTCTTGTCATGATCACCCTAAGCGGGACCAAAATACTGATTCAAACCCTAAAAGGGACGCCGAGGACCCCCGCCCTTTGATATTAGGGAGTCCCCCCC